TTTCTTCATATTTGAAGGTTTTAAAACATTTACCTGTTGAGAATCATTACTTTTTCATGTTCTGCTGCACATTACTTGGTAAGCTCATTTACACAAGTGCCAAAGGCACAACAGAAATATTGGCATATGTCATAGATGTGGGTTTAACACCATCACCTGTGGGAGAAGACTCCACTGGTCTGAGTAACTCAGCAGCACTCTCACAGAGTTTGGACCTCACCTACATACATCTGGGAATGACATTTGAAATAATCCAAAGAACTAGGCAGTCCTCAATAAATACTAATTATAGTATCTTCACCATTTCTCTAGGTGAGCAATGAAGATGTGAATTCTGCAGTTTATGAACCTATATGCTGGCAGATCACTTTTTTTCCCCACAATTACTTCACCTGCAGCTTTCTAAAAAAGGAGTAGGACAAAAATCATATGATGCATGGCACACATCATGTATCATCTTGACAACGTTAGAAAGGAAGTCAAAATGACCCAGGGCTTCCTAGAGAAAGTGAGGCTGCAGAAAACATTCATTCAACAGTCACCGCATTAAAAGAATGGCTCAGACAGCCAACTAAAAGCGTAAGGCAAATGGAGGGTCTCTGCTTTCTCTTCCACACCAGTAAAAAAAAAGATGTGAATACACTCACCTTTTTTGCTCTCTGTGCTATATTTGGTGTTCTAGTGAGAAGCTTTTCAATCAGGTATTCTCTATTCTGCAAAACCAACATTTGGTAAGTTAAAAATCAATACAAGGAAAGAAATTTCACGTAGATTTTAAGGCAGAGCAAAATTTACTCATAGGGTTAAACATTTTACCTTGGCTTTCTGGAAAAATTTGCATTTTAAAAGTTCTGCTGCTGTGGGCCTGAAAGATCAATAATAAATTAGAACAGAAAACAAAGACTCCTCTCAGTGAATACAGTACAAGACGTTAGTTAAATGGTACGTCTCTAAAACTTTTGAATTAGTACTGTATGGATGGGGAATGAATGATAACAGCTACTGAATTAATTCACACAAACTCACTTACCACACATGAAAAAATTAAGCCTCTCTATGGCAAAAAAATACCAAAAAAAGAGGAAAAATATATCAGTCACTTAAGCTGCCAATTTTCCCCCTTTTTTGTTCAACACAAATGCATTTTACATTTAAAGCAAACAAAAACCAAACAGAAAAATTAAAATAAGAAAAAAGTTCAGATAGTGTGTTCTTCCCAACGTGACTCTATGTATGCAACTAAAACTTTGCTCCACAGCAATAAAAGCACAATTAAATTTTCCAAACAGCAGCATCAATACCTGCTACTGGCATTCTTTTACTTCACTGATGTCAGCAGGTATTCACAAGAAAATATACTGACACTATTAACATGATGCACAAACCAGAGTCATCAGGAGCATCTTCCAATCAAACAAATACAAAACAAAGCAACAGTTGAAAGGTCAAACCAAGACATTTCATTTTCACGTGCAGTTCTGTTCAAGTCTGTTTCTTCCCATCATCATTAAGTGTAGATTTTTGACATTTTCAACAGAAAATCACAATCTCACAGCTACCAAAGTGATTTCAACAGCAGCATTTGTCACCCCTAGCTTCAGCGATCTAAAAGCTACTTATCGAGCCAAAGCCAGACTCTGGTACTGAAGCAGGCTCAGGAGACAAAGTGAAACATCTCTTGGGATGAAATAAAACCCTCTAGGTTCTTTCAATGATTTCCATTAGGAGCATATACCGCTATTTAAGACTAATTTTCACACAGCTAAATTTAGGGAAGCCAAAATCTTCAAGAGTCATCATATGTAAATGAACAGAAGCAACATCTGCTATAGTTTTCCATTTGAATTCATACAAGGGATTAAATACAGGACAAACTTAAGCAAGACAGTGAAAATCTTCAATTTGGAAAATTTCAGTCTCGAACCTCAAAAAATCTGAACTAGTTTATTTCTTTGAGGACACATCTGAAAAGTAGATGAAGAAAAGAGGAGGAGTAAATAGTCTGTATGTACAAATCAGTTCACTCCTGCTAGAAATGAAACAACTTTTGACAATCACAAAAAGCATTCAATCTAGACAGAGACAGTAGGTTCCATAGAACATGTATTTTTCTTCCCCTCCAAAGCACCAAACTCTACAATAAAGGAGTTCTTATTAATCCTGCGGAGACCACCAGACTTGGCAGTCATTCATACATACACCTTGGATGAACAAAAATGAAGGGAAACTTTTAAAAAGAAAAATCAGCATCTGTGCCGAAGTTTTAAAGTTGTCTCTCAAATTAACTCAATTTTAAGACAAGATACAGTGATTCAGTACCATCACATCTCTTAACAGGGCTATGCTCAGTTAAAAGCTAGATTCTTAGTAAAGTTTCATCCAAACTAGTGTTCTCCATTCCTCTACCATTAATTATGCCAGACTGAACTGGTCTGGACATGCTTTCTGGCCCTGTTTTTCCACACAGGCTGTGGCAGTGAATTGCAGATGAGGACTGGGAACAGCATCCTTGGCACTGGGGAGAGAGAGAAACACCCACACAGAGATCCTCAAAAGAAAAACATCATGGTCTGAGACAACAGTGCAATGCCAGTCCTAGAATTTGCCATAGAGAGCAAGCACTTCTCCCACAACTGACATAATATACCATCAGATGAATCTCTGTGCAAAATTACATGCTGGATTGCGAGAAACGTAAAAAATAGTGATGACTCCCAATATCAGAATACTTGCTCCTCAGTATGGAGTAACAGGCACACAGACCTAAGCATCTCTCTGTTGGCCTAACTGTTCAATTCAAGGCAATCCCGACTATGAAGATACTGCATGTGTTTAAATACCAGTGTCATAAATCAGGAAAATTACTTAAAACAGTACTGTTTCAACACTGCTGTTATATATACAGGTCAGGTAATTCAGCATTATGTATTCAAGGAGACAAGGAAAACTCATTTTATTTACCTCTCATGATTACATACCAATTAAATCTCACCCTGAAAATTGCTGGACACTGGATACTAAAAGACACTTGATTACCCAGAACACATTTTATTCTTATCTGTAAGCAGCCAAACTGCAGCACTAAGCTTGAACCATCAGGACATGCTACCAACAAGCATAAGGGGTTTGGGAATCTGTAAACAGTCTACAAATGATCCTTGAGCAAAACAAAAATTTTCAAGTATTTAAAGAATAAAGATGTTGCCACAGAATCTTTTTTGTTAACTATACTTGTTCTCTAGTATTCCTGCCATCACTTTTTTGACTTGACTCCCTGCAATATCCTGGTCTTAGGCTAGCATAACATCAGTGAAGAGAAGTACACACTGTAGAAGACACACAGAGTGCTCAATCAGGATTGCTCTCTTATCTTTCTTCCCCAGAAATCCTAGCTCAAACTCTACAAAACAGTGACATAACTAAATATCCTTAGGAAATAATGTTTATTAGAAAGTACTTCCTACAACTCGTCAGCAAAAGAAGCCTACAAAAATGGGTCTGCATAAATATGAATAAAGGATGAATAAATTAATTGTTTGGAGATTTGGGGACATCTGCAATGGTTTCAGAATTGATGTTTAATATTTTCACCATCTTGGCTGTCCCATTTACAAAACACAGCAAGAAAGAACAAATCACAAAGATACTATGACATGCATTTGCCTACATAAACATGAGGAAAACTCAACAAGCCTGCAGTCCCTCACTTTACAGTAAAAAAATCAATACATCTTAATAAGCAATTTTCTCTGGAAATATCCAAGTTAAAAGCAATACTAAGTTTATGTCACAAAATGAGAAAAATGAACATGGAATTATTTATTTTTCATTTCTTTTAAAGGCCAAGAGACTAATATGTTTGATTACCAGCAATTCTTCTGGTGAATCTGAACAGTCTTGTTAGACGTACGCACAATACCTAGATTTATATCTTGCCTCAGATGAGAAATTAACACTTCTCTTTGACTGGAGTTTAATTCAATAGTATATGCAAGCATAAATACATTAGGTTAACAAGCCAAAACAAGAAAACTTAAGGGATAATTCAGAGGCAACTTCTTCTCCCCAGGTGAAGATGACTGAAGGCTGCTATTTACAAAATTAAAGACTATGTCACTGTAACTTAAAGATGTCTATATATTTTAAAAAATAATTCCACTATATATGGCAATAGTGACCTACCTCTTGGAAGGATCTTTTTGAAGGCATAATGAGATTAGTTTTCTAAAGGACTTGCCATACTTTTTCATCATCTCCTTGTCCTCTACACCTGTCTCTAAAGTGGGAGGGTCATTTTGAAGCGTCAGCATTAACACCTACAATAAACCCAAAAAAGAGGAGTCATAAGCAAAACGAATGCAAAATATAGAAATTAAAAGAGAATAAATACTCCTCAGAATACATTTATTTAGATATCTTGAGTTGCTATTGGAAATGAAGTAGCTCAACTATCGAGCAGCATTAATAATACAGCTAACAGCAAGTAATACAAAGTGATTGTTACTTTCATAGGGGGGTATTTGTGATAAGGTGCTGCTCCTGTTGCTAACTCAATGGCTGTTATCCCAAAACTCCACATATCAGCCTTGAAGTCATATCCTCGCACCTGGAACAGAACCAAAAAGGAAAAAAAAAGGTGATTATGTCTCAAATTCCAAAAAAGACTGAAGGTGCTTTAATTTTTTTTTAACATTAGAAATACCTGCTCCATTACTTCAGGGGCCATCCAACAGGGAGTACCAACAAATGTTTTCCTTACTTTGTTACGAGTAACATCACCTCCAGTTGCTAAAAATGCACTAACACCAAAATCTGGGAAGGAGGAAAAAAAGTTGAAATCTGTTAAACTACCAGTAACAAAGCAAAACTTTTACATTTTTAGAAATTAAGTCAGTTCCTCAAGGTAGGCTTATAGAAACTCACCATTGCAATAGCAAAAAAAAAAAAAAAAAAAAAGAATAAAGCTGAAGTGTTCTGTTAACCTGTTACTACATCAGTGACAGCTGTATGGGAAAGGTAGTGGAAGAGGAAAGGGAAGGTAAGTGGAAGAAACAGCAGGTTAGCAATGCATAGAGAAATACCACTATTTTGAATGGAGCTATATGAAGAGCATTTTCAACTGTGCTATTTACAATCCAGTTATACTAAAACAAATAGTTTATTATAGACTCCAACTTTTTTTTCCTATTGTTTTCCTATTGTTACCTGATTTTAAGGTTGAAAAAAATCAGTAACTACCAAAAATGTAGTTTTATCATTATTTTACACTAAACAACCACTAAGCATCAAAGATTCAAATTCTGGACCTCTTCTACATCTCTGAAACCCACAGAAATACAGTAGTCAAGCAGGCAGAAAGCTTCAAGCAATTTAATTTTCCCTGCGGGCTGCCTGATGAAAAAAATCAAACAAAAACCCCACAAAGCAGCAACAGAAAGACTTCCCCCCCAAATCTGTAACTTATGAAATACACAAGTTCTGTTGTGTTTCTAAAAAGCACAAACAGCCTAAGAAACACCTGCTTCTAAGTTTTTAATGCCCTAAAAATCAATGCTGGTAATTTTCCTGAGGAGGATCTATTGCATATAAGTCACAGCTGAATAGGCAGAAACCCAAAATAAATAAATAAATGCATAAATAAAGGAGAGATATAGGAAAAAAATTATGCCCCTTCAGTAGATTAGTTTGTATCAGATAGTTGTTTACAGTTCCTTTCAAGAGCTGAGATACACAGATAAAATACTGACTTAACCTTTGCTCCTTTACTGCTGTTTTTCTCCATTATCAGAACATGACAAAACAACAGCTATAAATAGGTGAAAGGAAAATGAAAAAGCACAACTCAACAATCCAGAAAAATTTCTTCTTGTGTAAGCCTCAAAACGAAATCTTACAATACCTCACTGAGAAAGATGCAATGAGCAATTAAGTCAAATGAACATTTCACTGTAATACTAGTCACTATTGTATGTTTACAGACAGAAAGAACACTTTGATAAGTACTTAGTACAAACAAGACTGATTTCCCATCCCAGGCATAGGTTTCACAAGTACAGGTTATTTAAGAAATGACACAACCTACAGTGGCAAGCTTCCTATCACACAGGACACAAAGAGGACAAGGAAACATATTACAAGGAAAGAGCTGATCAATTCAAGTGTTAGGCTGATCAATTCAACAACACTGTTAGTCTCAGCTAATACCAAAGGAAAAACAAATTTAATACGGAGCACTGATTCAACTGTATTAGTAAAGCATTCTGAAATTAAAGGAAACAGAGCTGCCCAAAGTATAGTCTATGAATCACTTACTCCCCAGCATCTTCTTCATCTCAGCCAGGGGCTGGGCTCTTGGCCAAGTCTCAGTGAAGGCCAACATCCAGAGTCAGTGCTAGGCGTAAGGCTGGGACAGAGATGAAGCCTGTGCCCTTCCAGGGAACTGGGCTGCAAGGAGCCCACTGAGGGATGGCACAGGCTGAAAAAAATGCTTTATACCCAACAGCTTTTTCACCTCAGCTAAGGCTGGGGCTCTTGGCTAAGCCTCAACCAAAACCAAGCTCTAGGGTCAAGATCAGCCTTGGGAGTAAGACAAAGTCACTGCTTCCATGGCAGCAGGGCTGCAAAGCAGCTCCTACAGGAAGGCACAGGCTGCAAAAACATTTGTCCCCTAACCTTCTGACCTTGACAGCAGCTGTAGGCTTTAGCCAAGGCCATCTGTAGTGTTATGGTTAATACTGGGAGAGAAATATCACATCAAGCACCTCTGAGACTGAGGCTGGTCAAAGAAAGCTTGGGCTGCCAATTAGCCCTGATAAAACTTTCTCCTCTATGTGGCTTCAATATCTTAGACATAGGTTCTGCCTAATTTTACTTTTGTCAGAGAAACCCTGGGCTGAGCTTCATTTGTGAGCTGTAGCCCCTTAGAACTCAGAAATGTTAATGGACAACTGTGTCTTCAAATATTACACCTCATATATATTAGCAGCATGTGCTATGGATATACCTTTTCATTATAGAGGCTTGGGATGCAAAGGAAGTGAATGAGCAGTCAAAAGAACCTAAGCTCTTCTAGCAAATAAAAAGGAGAAAAATTATCAGGAATCTGTTCTCCAAAGATGAAAGGAGACTTCTTTGTCAAGGCAAAAATATGTTAAAAGCCTCTTCGACATCTAAAACTGGCTTTCAGATAATGTACAATGCTCAGCTGTGCCAAACAGAAGAGCCTCACACCAGCTAAGAAAGAAGTCTGAAACTGCTGCACTTTTTACCTGAAAATCAGAAATAACCTGATATTGAAATAATGCATCACAGAAAGACAGATTCCACGTATCTCTACAGCCACTGAACCTCCTCAGTCCCACATGCACAGAATACCCTAGCAGCACAATTAAAGCCTTACTCACCAAGATGTCTACAGGAAAAAGAGGAAAGGTCAAGAAACCAAGCCCTGGAGTTGAACTAGAAAGGGATAAATGAAGCTGTTGTTTGAATGCTATCTGATAACTGGGAGAGTAGATTTGAATATGTGTGAAAGTAATAACCTAAAGTCAACAGCTTTATTTTGGATGGCTCATGAGATTCCATCTTTGAACCTTTTAGTTATTTTTAATTTGGTTGGTTGTCAGGACATCTATTCCTTTACAATGTGAGAAGACCTAAAAAATATTTGAACAGCACAGACCTCAAATCTCAGCAGTTGTCCAAAGTTCTGTATAGTGCGAAGACAAGTGTAGAGTATAATCAAGTGAATAAATAAACACTAATATCTTATAAAAATTTAACTCATTAAAATTGACTACCTACTTAAAAAGTCTTGAACTCAAAATGACTTAAAACTGCTCCAATGAGTAAATGGTTCATCTTCCAGTTAATCTTCTCCCATCCAGTTTCATAGACTTTGGGTAGTAGCTTATTAAAGCCCTCAAAATATATGTTTACATGGTAGTTTGAAAGCATCATTTATATAAAAAATAGAACCTCTGTCTATAACCATTTTTATTACTGAAGGCTACTAAACACACTGCTTTCAACGCTCAGTCACAAGCTATAAACTGCGAAAGGCCTGGCAGTGTGCTGGGAGAAGGGACAGGCATCACCACCTGCTAACTCTTTTTTCCAGATAATCTGATACTAACTTGAGAGGTGGGATATGAGCCTTGCTCAGTACTTAAGCTCTTATGAGACCAAATCATTTGATTCTTACAGACTGCCACTCAGGAAGCACATCAACACATTCAGGGGATATCTAAGATCCTAAACTATATCCAACTGATATCACTGCAAGACAAATGGCAGATATGCCAAAAATAATTACCAGTGAGATATACCTTATGCATCTGAGTGACTAGTTAATTTATGAAGGGAAGTAGACAGGGATTTTTGGATCCCCAAGAGCTATTACAGCTACTTGCAGAAGTAAATGAAATTAACAGAAACATGAGTTGTTACCATTTGCAAGCTGTTTATGATATGTGGATGAATCAAAAGGAATCATTAAGAAGACACAGAAAAGTTTCCTTATATATTTGATGGGACAGAGAAATATTGCATACTTTATGAACCGCATATCATTAACCAAGAATCCTGAAATCTGAAACTGGATAACTTGTGGCTACAGCACTCCAAAGGAACAGTCAAAAGCCAACAGAAAAACTTCCATCTGTTGCACTTGAGCCAACTGCCATTACCTTTTTAATTTATATATCTATTGCTCTACCACTGCCATTACCTGCTATTTGTACAGAGCCATCCTCACCCAGAAGAATGTTGCCAGCCTTCAAATCTCTAGAATGTACAAACAGAGGTTACCATGAAAGTAAATATGCACACATTTCATGTAAATAAATAAATAAACAAACTACTGAATAGTTTCACAAGATAGCATTTCAAATTTAAAACACAGAAACAGGAAACAAGTATAAAATTTAACTGATTTATAATAAAATAGAGTGCAGAACTCAAACTCAAATTCTTATATGTAAAAAGAGACAAATTCAGCTTTGGCATAAAATAAGCAGAAGTCAGGGAAAGATTTTAAGATCAATATTTAGGTCCAAGGTCTGGTTAACCACTTTTTAAAAATATAAATCTCACAAACTGAGAACTTTCAGGGCTTTGAAGCAAGAATTAATGTTTGTCACATGCAACTGCACCACTATTGAAAAAGGAAAATTGGAAAATAGTTCTCCTTTTTGATCTCTTCAGAGAAGAGACCCATCTTCAGGAAATGTAAATGTACTGTACATTTCTATGCAATTAAGCTATTAAAGCTCAGGATTAGCATTCACATTTTGCTGTGGTGTACTGTGATGAAAAGTTACTTGGCACTGAATGTGTCAAAAATTCAGCATGTGATTAAAAGTGAACTATATCCATTTAACACCCCATTCACACATAATGCTAAGAAGAAACCTTTGTGGCCTTTCTGGTTTGGTTATTTTTTTTATAAAAATATGCATCCCATTCTTAATGCACAGATTAAATCTTTCACACAGAATATATCATAACAAGAGTTAGAGCAAATCAATCTCTCCGAGATTTACTGAAAACAATTTACATATGCTACTGAAAGGTAACATAACCTGTTTCCTTATTATATAAGCAAGAATACATTGAAACAACAGAAAAAAATCTCTGAAGAATTCTGAAAACATCTCCAACTAGCAAATGCCACCTGACACAGTATTATACAATGTACATGGGAAAAAGGAGGCACATTGTATCATCTTCAACAGGACTTCTGTGGTACTGCAGAGTTTACAGATCATGTTATAAAAAAAGAGAAATCTCAGATGTAACAAATAGATCTCTCTCTTTTTATCATTTTTAAGGCATTTTGAGAACAAACGGGGAATTACCAAATCTGACCTCAAAGGGTCCTGTTATCTTTAAAAGCTCATTAATATGCCTTTCACAACAATATATCAGTTTAACAGAAGACTATGAATTAAGGTTTGAGGCAGATCTTTGGCTTTCCAGACCAGAAGTCAATATAATTGTTCTTTATTTCTCCATTTACTTCAATTTTCTCTGCAAAAGGAGGAAACAGCTCTTCATTTACATCAGAGGCAGTTCATTTATAAGATGAGACATAAGATGTACAGACAAAGAACAACTACTGTGCTACATTTCTACTACCTCAACTCTCAGAGCCCTGTCTGCAGAGAATCTGGTTTTTGTGCAAAAGATTCCCTTGTAATAGGCTAATCCTTCAAACAGAGAATCTGCTACTGGCACCTTCCTAAAAGAGAAATTCATCTCAGTAAAATTAATTAGGAAGGTCAGAGTCCAGCACTTTCAACAACCAAACATTGGAAGCAACCTCTGAGTCCCTACAGCAGATATGTATAGACCACCCCAGGGGATCTACACAAATTACACAGAGAAAAATCAATGAAGAGAGAATATACAGAAGAGAGCAATCATTAGATGCATATACACTAAGATGCAGTTCCATAGTACTAATCCCAGCTTTACATGTGGTCATTTAAAAACATGTTTTTAGAGTCGTAATAGATATTACCAATTACCAGGAAAAAGAATAATTTCACATTTGTACAGCAGTGCCCAAGACTACAGGCTAACTGTGCAACAAAATAACCAAGTCACAGAACATATCACATAAACTAGAATCAGATTAGATAGTTGGAGCAAAAGCAGGCACAGGAGTACAGATCCCAATTCTGGCATACTTAGCATAGCACAGACTTATCCAAACTAGGAGAGAGACAGGGTAAAGACCAGGCAAGTACTGCGTATTAGTGACAAACTGCAGTCAAGAATTCAGCATCTTCCCGAGAATTATCATTTGATACTTATTGATTGCATTTACAGTATGTGAAAGAGAATACAATTTGCTTAGCCAAGCCACTGCAGCCACCAGTATCAAGAAACTATACAGACTGTTTTGAAAATGCTTTTCACTACATATATGCTCCTACCTGTGAATTTGCCCATTCCTATGTAGATAGTCTAAGCCCTCCAAAACTTCTTTAAGAATAGTTGCTATTATGGGTTCCTCAAGGACACCACTTTTGTGCTCTCCTCTGTTGACAATATACTTTATTATATCAAGCATTGAACCTGTATTGAAGATCCAGGAAAGAAAAAAAGCATATAAAAAGCATTATCATATCAGATCCTTAAGAAAGCTGTCTTTCTACACTGCTTCTCTGCTACTGCAATTTAAATCTTCGCATGTATGAGTAAATACTTCATGTAACTAGCTCTTAGAATACAGCACACCGCTAACTCATTCAAGACACAGAGCACTGGGTTTTGCCAAAAATACCATAACACTTAATGATGCATTAGAAAGAGCTGCTAACAGCTTGCTAAGCTACCACTGATTAAAAATTCAGGAGCACCCCACATTTAAACAGACATGCACTGCAAAGGTTTTAGTCTACTATCCAGCTTAGATTATGGTTCATGTGTTCACAATGTAGAGTAAATATGCAGCTGCAAGACTGGAAGGAGATATTCTCTACAAACAAATGATGATAACAATCCCAGGGACACACAGTTTGACACTGAGCTTCCGTTATTACAAATTTCAAGGCATTTAATAGCAACATTTTGTTTCAATTCAAGAATTTTCCAACAGCTCACAGTAAATTCCTGTCACGAATTACAGGTTTCTCTCATGTTCTATGCTTGGTTTTGATTAAACTGACCAATTCAACCAAATGTGACATAACAAGCGTTATTTTATGAGCACTTCCCGTCCTTGTGTTCTAGCATGACAGTGTAGTAGTCTGCTGCCATCAAGATTGATATTGAAGGACAACATGCAGCAACCAAGACCACCACAGCATATTTTTGAGCCTCTCTTTTCTAAGCTACAAGCACATTAAGCTCAGCCCCTTTTTCCTCTCCCAGAACCAAGGAAGAATTTTATACCATTAACCATTATCATAAAAAAACTCTAATAGGCGTTTGGTTAGTTTGAGAAATAAAAAGGATGCAATATGTGTAATACTTGCCCTAGGATGAATCTTACTTGAATAAGAAACATTCTTTATGAAATGAGAAATATATATATTTTTACAAAAACAGAGTGAACTCCAAAGAAACTCAAAATAAAGCCACACTCACAAAAGTGACTTAATTCTCAGCAGTTTTCCC